ATTCTAAGAACTTTTGCGTAAACACTTCCTATGATGGTTAATTTATAAATAGTGTAAGTACTGCATTTATTTTTATCCCATTTAAACATTAAAGTTACGACGTTTAGTGACCGGATTTTTTTCCAACGAATTTATTATCAAGCTGTACAATGTTAAAATCTTAAGAACCCCAGACTTATATGATCACATTCGTCCAACGGGTTCGACCACCCCGCGCTTACCGGAAGTACATGAACCTGGTTTACCGTTACAACCTGTTTTGGATGTCGAGTTCACCATGTTAATTAATCGGCCAATGGTTGATGAAAAAATTGGAACTAGTTAGAAGGCAAGTATCTAAATATTCTACTCAAGATACTTTTTAATTCACTGATCGTGTTAAGGACGTTAATACTTTGGAAAACACGTTCTCGTGTGGCGTTAATTCTTTGTTCACTAGTACACCTTTAACTGAAACGATATGCCATATATGTGAGTATATTAGTTTTAACAACATAGATCTAAGTATGCCAACTGACCGCTTGAAAGAACTACCATTACGTTGTACCTTTAATGTCCGATTCAGTTTCACAAGTGAAATATATATAGACAAAGACATGGGGTCCAATTTTAGCAGACTGTTTTATGGCAAAACTGCAAAATTAAGTTCGGTGATTAATAGATTCCATCTATACGTAAGATACATGGACGAAACATTTGTGACGACAATATTGAGTTGTGAGATATCATACACTCGTTCAACACATGCTAGTCTTCACATTAGAAAGCGATGAGAAAGAGTAAGTCCCTTAAAAAGATCCATATTTTGACTACAAACATGGCCGACCAGATTCTACAGCTGAATTCCTTTAAGCAGAAAGAGAAACCTTATTTACCGAATACATCGGATATGTTATACGGAATGCATTGAGGAAGAACTCGCATTTCTCAGGAAGTATCCAACGAAAAATCACTATCCAGACCGCTTCATAGATAAGAATATGAAGAGTAGTTTTGACGGAATCCGGTTGCTTCGTTTAAAAAAAAAGCATGAATTTAGAGGTGATCGAACATCTGATGTAATCAAAAATCGGTTAACGACAGTGACAAAAAGAACATTATGCGGCAAAACAGAATAACGTTCACTAGTAGTAGCTTGTTTTCTGTATCCGTAAACGATAAGCTTTACCGTCTGATTGCCACCATGTGCAACATCTGCCAGTCTACCTGCTTTTGAGGAGTAAGGTACATTGGCCGTAGCCAGCGCTCGCTTACAACTCTGACATGGGAACATTTCCCAGCGTGGTTCTACAAGGTTGAGAGGAAAGCAGTTACGAGTTTCATATTTGAACATATAATCGACTGTAATCATTCTACTGATTCATAGTTTGATTTTAAGGTTGCATATACGATTTATTTAAATCTATCTATATTTCAAATCCAACTTCAAAAAATAGCCGAAGCTCTTACTATCCATGAGCTCAAGCCAGAACTATACGTACAAAAGGAGTACATCATATCGTTACCTTGGCCTTAGTTTTTTTTATTATCGCAATTCTCCCTTTACTTATGCATCACATTTTCATTATTTTATTAATAATTGCTCATAATTTCACTTCATTTATTTCCCACCTCTATTACCTTTAATTGCCTACAATTACTGTAACAAAAACATTTTAATCATCTTACTACATTCATGTAATAATTCGTTACTAACTCATCAAGTCTAATGTTATTATTCGTATCACGTAATCCAGTATTATAATCTTTCTACTAAATCATCTTTGTTATTCCTTGTCCCCATTTCCTCAGGGAACTAGTAATTTTCATATTTATATACGATTGTACCGCTTGATAATAAATTCGTTGGGAAGAGATTCCGTCGCTGAACTTCGTGTTTTTCTATCCTATTGGTGGACAGGTAGTAATCGACAACCTATCACTGAAACATTATCGTCGGGACGAACAAATAACTACTGTATATTTTGATCCTTGTTAATTGCTGGTAAAGCATCACTCCGATAATTTACAAGCAAACGATTGTATGTATACGGAAATCCCATTACTTTCAGATTAAATTAACTCATTACATGGACGGCATCTAGCATACTTCTTTTTGGTTTATTGATGGTAAACCCGTGTATGTAAAAATCAGATATGTATCACGATCTGTCCCTAGATTTCCTCAGTCACCAGGTCTGATGAAAGCTCCAAGTAAAGTTGTTGTCACATGACCCTTCAAATATCACGTGACCAAAGTAATCAGAATACCGGCCTCCATGAATTTGTTTCTGTGCTAATACAATAATGCGCTGACTGGCACGAGCGGCCTTCAGTTAACTCTGAATGGTAGCTAATCGCCTAATCCAGCTCGTTCAATCCAGAACACAAATCAGTCTCCGCTGTATGAATCAAATACTTCAAACATACGGGCTTTATATACAAGTAGACCAGAACGCATCATATCACAAAATGAAAAATAATAATAATACAAAGTCAAGGCGAAAATGGCTGTGAGTATATAGGAGACTGCAACTAATATAGATTGGGAATAAATTAAGAATGGTATGTCGTATGGTCAAATGATAAAGGAAATATGAATGTACATATACAATCTAGTTAATTAATAATTATCTAATAAAAATATGTGATAGTCCATAAATAATTCTTGGCAGTTGTTACTATTCATTTATTCTCCGTTCGGATATAACAAAAGTAAAGTTGTCAACTGCGGTGAATAACTAATACACCTACTGTATATTTAAATATTTTATGTTGTGCTTAAACCTATCATAATGCAACACAATCTCATACTGCATACCTCGAATTTGAGTTTTTGATTGTTTTGTTAAAGTTTTATTTTGTTATTTCAAATTCACACCAACGCACCCAACTAAATAACTCAATATAGTCACTCTGTGGTAATACGGACCTGGCCATCTTGCATTTAGAGTGAAAGAAATACATCCCGGAAATGCTTTTCTGCATGCTCAAAATGTTTTTAAAACTGCATTATATCAAAGTTAATGCCATCTGGATATTTAAAATCGATAAACGAGTCTCTGGGATGATTAATCTCTAAAAAGTTAGGCAAAGCGAGTAATCCTTACGGAGAAATCTATGGCGAGTAGTGTGCATCTATGAGCACCACCCAAGTAAATTTGGAGAAACCGGACATTTAAACGTTTTTCCAGGCCATGGAAGAATTCTATAACCTGAAATTTACGAATAATCATTTTTTCCCGACTCATTGAAATCATGAGCCGATCAATGTTAGACCACCTTCGAAAACATGGAAGCGCTGGACGGCTGTTTCATCTCAGCATGGGACTCCACAGCAGTTCAAATCCACAATTCCGCACGCAGGATTCGAACACAGGACCGGCGTCACACGCGAATGCTTAACCTCTCGTCTACTGAGCCGGCACCCAAAAGTGTTAATGTCTAATTCCAGTCAAAAGGTTTATTCTCTTTAAAATGCCTATTTTCCTCTAGCGATATCCATTCCCTATTTGTATTTCTTCTACTACGTCTATTTCTCCCCACATATTTGCCCACTATTGAACAATATGAGCTCAAACTCTTAAAAATCCGACCCTTATAACATGTCTGTATATTTTAGGGTTTTGAAGAGTGTATATTGGTCGCACTAGATTCTAGAGTCATAGCTAAAGAAGCGTGTTAGAGGATTTGAGATGGAGTTCGAGCTATGAAGCCTCCAATATGTAATTTGGAGGGTGGTTTCAGTAGACCAAGAATATCATTTCTTGAACACCGGTGTCACACGCATGGAAGAGAAAGACGGTTGCTAGTAAAAAGAGGAAATATTTGGAAATAAATAAGTCCAATTTTGAAAACGATGAGTTTGAGTGCCGTAATAAAAATGAGGATAATATCACTTTTCGGTAGTCCATAATGTGGGACGATATATTTTCTTGAGGTACCTGGGAAAGAAAATAGGTTCAGTGGCGAACTTGATGAGCCGGGAGCATGGTCACATAACCTAAAATAAAACTGCTAAAGAGGTAAATACAGACGGGCTATCAACGAGTAGTTTCAAATGTGTTAACTCTACTTTTCAAGTAGTATTTCTTGAGCAGGAAATTCGTTGGGTAAGGTGATATACGCTGTTTACATGACAAATATTTGTTAACGCTTTCATTCCGTTGTGAGGGAGGAGCTATTTGTCGAAAACAATTTGCTGGCATCACACCCCAGCACAGGTGGTAGCACAAATTCCTTCTCAAACTCTACATTTCCTGTCTCATCTTCAGCCATCCCTGTGTCGTAGAATTACAAGGAACAAGATAATTGTTGGGTCGTCACGACAGCCAAGCCTAATTGCCTTGTCAAGGTACCAGCTATGGTCTGGCTTGTAAGCTGATGCCCCGAATAAACTTAGTACCTGCCTAGTAAGGACTTGAAGACAGAAGAATGATGATTAATTATACAATCAATTATCAACATAATTATGTGAATTTTTTACAATCAAGATAAGGATTGAAAAGAAAAATAACTCCAGTGATAATTACATAATTAGAAAAATAGCTAATAAAAATCAGAAAATCTGTTTAAATATTTTCATAACATGAATATAAACTATTTTGGAATAATTACTTAGGTGGTGTTAATCAAGCGAAATTGTTTTTATGTGCCGATCTGCTTAAATGAGTAATGCGAAACGATGGGCATTTTGTTAAATATTTCAAAAGTTGAATGTTAAGATGGAGATTCAACGACAGTAAAGAGAGATTATATAAAAGATGAAAATGGTATGATTACCCCATTCACAGACACAAAGTTTTCGTTCAGTGATATTCATAAAATAGGGAAGTATGTGTACTCTATTTACTATCACAACTCTTTAGAGATGTACAATTCACTAGATGGCATTAAAGTAGGTCTGTACAACAACTGACGTATTATGATGACTATGTTCTAAATTAAAAATAAGCAATTTAATATACAGTCATATTGGGATCTTGAGTCAAAAAGTTATCTCAAGAGATCCAAGAAAGTGTCTAGCCACAACGAGCTATTGCCGAATGTGGTTGTTCTAATTTTTCCAAATATTCAAAGTGCTTACGTGCATTGCGAATATTCAGCAGAGTTGCAGAAGAGGCTGAGAAAAAACGAGAAAAACATCAATTTAAAACAAATTGCACAATATCCAACATTCGTAAAAGAAAATTGGTGTACATCATTTAGTAAGTCCCTTGAAACCTAGTGAACAATACGAAACATATCTCTGATCACTCATACCATCATAACAGTATTTATAATGAAATTAGGAACGCTTGTAGAAATCAAAAACGACACAAGTTTTCCGCATATGACCTGCAGTACCAACTGACAAAAGTGGTTACTGGATTTTATACACTATTAAAGTACATCTGCATTTAGATACTTGATTTTAATAAAGATAGCAATAATCGATATAATTCTGAGAAGTAAAGGACTGGCATAATTCCACAAAGATCCTAACCTTAGTACCCAGATTGATAACTATCTATATATATACGAGACATCGCTGTTAAAATTCTGTTAGCCGGTGGATGTCGAACGAGAGTGTTCATCATTCTTGAGAGAAAGGCGAATAAATTTCAAAACTCGTTTATACTACTTATTTTCCATCCAATTTTTCTGATGGCTGATTAGATAAACAACATTATTCACAGAATTGTGGTTTGTGAAAGTCAACTCTCTAAAGAGAAGAGTGATACATTTCACTTTTACAAATAATAAACTGATTTATACGGTAAATGTTTTAGGTGTGAAACTTAGAAATAATGTCGCATACGATCCCAATTTTAACTAGCAACAATACGTGCTTACTTACACCTGTCACACCCTGTGTAAGAGCATAAGCCACCCACCAGCATTCTCCATCCAACCCTTGGACCCTCCTTTCCAGTTGCTATTCATCCTTTTGATGTCTGCTTCCATTTCCCGGCTCAACGTGTTCTGTGGTCTTCCGATTTTCTGTTTCTCTTCAGAATCGAAAGTTAGCGCTTGCCTCGTGATGCAGTTTGGTGATTTCCATAATGTATGTCCTATCCACTTTCAGCGCTTTTTCCTAATTTCCTCTTCAGTTGGAAGTTGGTTTGTTCTCTCCCACAGTAGGCTGTAATTGATGGTATCTAGTCAACGGACATTCAGTATCTTGCGTAGACAACTGTCTATAAATACTTGTATCTTCCTGGTGATGCTTCCAGTAGTTCTCCAAGTTTCAGTTCCGTACAATAGAACTATCTTGACGTTCGCATAAGAGGTTCTAACTTTGATGTTGGCTGACAGGTGTTTTGAGTTCCATACGTTCTTCAATGGTAGGAATACTACACTTGCTTTGCCAATCCGTGCCTTCACATCTGTATCACATCCTCCTTGCTCATCGATGATGCTGTCCATGCACGTTCAAGTTTCCACATCTACTAGAGCTTCTCCATCAAGTGTGATCAGGTTAATGCTCCTTGTGTTGTGTTTCAGAATCTTGCTTCATCAGAACTGATTACCTCAAGTGATGTTCGTCAGGGCTGCCCACTCTCTCCATTCTCGTTTAACTTAGTCATTGACGTACTTTTAGAGATAATACTTTCCTCATCTGACTTTCCAGGGGTTGAACTTCTACCGGGAGATTCACTTTCTGACCTAAAATATGCCGATGACATAGTTCTATTTGGTGAAGACGCTGACAAAATACAGTCTTCTGACCACTCTAAGCAACAATGCAAGCATGTTCGAGATGCGATTCTCCCCATCAAAATGCAAAATGTTGCTTCAGGATTGGGTTGCATTGACACCCGAACTAATGATAGGGAGTGAGGTAGTTGAGTGTGTCGACCGCTTCACTTATCTTGGAAGTCTCATCAGCCCTTGTGGTCTGGTGTGTGACGAAATCTCAGCACGGATACAGAAGGCTCGATTAGCTTTTGCCAACTTGCGTCATTTATGGCGTAGGCGAGGTATCCGTCTTTCAACCAAAGGATGTGTTTACTGCGCAGCAGTTCGTTCCGTCCTACTTTATGGCAGTGAAACGTGGCTGGTAAGAGTAGAGGATATCCGTAGGTTACTAGTATTTGACCATAGGTGTCTTCGAAACATAGCTCGTATATCCTGGGACCATCGAGTAACGCAGTTGTTAGGAAACGGGTACTAGGTAAGGATGGCAAATCGATTGATAAAGTAGTGAAACTTCATCAGTTGAGATGGCTGGGACATGTGTTATGTATGTCCAACCACCGACTGCCTCGACGTGCCATGTTTTACGGTGTAGAAGTAGGTTGGAAGAAAGCTAGGGGCGGCCAAACCAAAACATGGCACAAGTCCATGAAGTCACTGACAAGTAGACTGAGTCATATTGGTAGGTGTAGACTACCTGGTTGGGGACCGCGAGATGATAGCAACCGATGGTTAGAGACCCTGAATGACATGACTCAAAATCGTTTGCAATAGCGCAGTTGCATCCACTCTTTGTGTTCTCCCAAATTCTAATCTCCTGAATCCTCCTCTTTTTCCTCTTTCCAAATTTATTTCACTGAATTATACTCATTAAATAACATCTTCAAACCCTAATGTTTCCGATTACTGCTTATACTCTTACTACCTCTACCAGTACGGGATTTGAATCGACAACCGCATCTCTGTGTTAATGTGGTGTGGCAACTCGAACTGATGTAAGTACGCACGAAGTTCTAAGTTGTTACTGACTGACTGGCCTCGCTTCCTCCATTGTGTATGTTTAGGCCCAACTGATGCAGAGACTGCCGCTACACAGACTGTCTTAATCCGCATTTGTTGTTGTCTATGGGATGGAAGAGCTAGGTCGTCTGTAAAGTTTAAATCGTCTAGTTGCATCCAAGCTACCCATTGTATCCCATGCCCCGCCTCAGATATGTAGGTCTTTGTAATCCAGTCGATCACTGGAAAAAAGGAGAAACTAAGTAGTCATGGGGTTGGTGACTCTATGCCCAACCGTCCTCCTTTGGTCGGGCTTGAGACCGGCATGTACTAACAATCACGCAAAGCTGTAATTAACCAATAATTTGAAGTGCTAAACTACAAACCACATGACTAGAGGTACAAACTCAACTGCATTCTGACTCGTGATAGGTGCACATACCAATCTGTTAAATAGATTCTATCCGTTGTAACAGACTTTCATTCATTCATAGAGAATACCATTAGTAAAAATGAAAAACTAAGAAGTGTTTCAAACTTAGTACACTCACCGATGGATAGATCAGAACATACCACCATGATATATGTATTAGATGTGAAAACGTCAATAAACGCAGCAAAGTGTTGGTTGCGCAGTTCAATTTTCGTGAAATTTGCCCCAACTTTACTACATGACAATTTGAATTGTTTCACAATGTTGCTTATCTTCTCAAACCTAAATTTTGAAGTTATTAGGACGAATGAACACATAGTTCCTACCTATGCACATCAGAATGTGGAACTCTAGAATGACAAGCAATTTCCAAAAATGTTGCTCTTTCGAAAAGAATCACTTCATCAGCTTCTAGTACTTCACAAAGTTGTTTTAAACTACCCTCCAACATTTTGATATTTGGAATAAGTTCATAAACAATTTTAGACCAAGCTTTAAATAATGTTTCATCCCATATTGACGTAGCAAAGCATGAACAAGTGAATGGCTTCGTAACCGCTTCGATATTTTGCTTTCTGACTTGAAATACCTATTTTATGTATCAGTCGGAGAAGGAATAAAGTTTATCTTTTAAAACATAAAAGCTAAACAGTAAAAACTGACGAATAATTATTAAGAATAACCTAACCACTGGACGGTATTTTACAAACCTGCGGATTCAGAATATAAAATCTGTAAGTGGTTTCCACCATGGACTGGCACTAGCTGGAAATTACTAAAACCCGTGGGGCTGGAATTTATCGATTGCCTGAGGACCTTCAGAAAAACTTCTTATGGGATCAAAAGTGTTGTTTGATTTTTTGGGCGAATCGTTAATTACTTTCGAAGCAACTGCTACTTCGAAAATTCAGCAACCAGTGGGATATCTGAATGGGAGAGTTTAGTTTGTGTCCTTTATCCCCTGGAATCGCATTCAACTACAGATAAAACAGTTAATATATGTGACAGAGATTAGTTGTTTTCAGATAAGTTTGAACGATCCTTGCATAAAGCTTATGGATAAAATTACTAAATTTGCTGCTCTAGACGACATAGAAAGGTTGATCTGGAATTTTCTGAACGGTAGGATAAACGAAAAGGTGAATATGGCACATTTTATCTTCAGACCACGACCCAGCGTCGTTGAAAGAGTACAACCAAAAAGTCAGATTAAAATAACAACATTGTGAAGACATACTTCATCCTTTTTTTCTTCACTGACGAGGTCTGTCTTATGAATGAGACAAAAGATTTTCGCACCGGGGGAATTTTGATTTACAGCGTCCAAGCACGAACGGTAATAAGCCAAGTCTTTTGATATTTCCCTGCTTTCAATATCGAAAACATAGATCAAGACTTCGACATTTCTGAATATGGTTTCTCTTTGGTTGACGAAATAGCTTTCCATGAATCCATCTTGACTATGGAAAAACAGACGATTAATTGGCAGACTTACCCTCCGCAATCCCATAAATTTAGAACCAATCCACCTAGCAGTCGTAGGTGAGTGTGTTCTACGTCCACTAATATGAAAAGTTGGTTAAACTGTACATTTACACATACTTGTAGGACCGAGCCTGCGAGTATCTCGAGCGATGAAGTTTGCAAATATGATACTTCTCATACTCGTTTTGCCTGAACCAGATTTTCCCATTAACAAAACCTATGAAGTAAGCAGCATGATAACGTGACATACTTTCTTTCTCATCTCAAGTGTAAGTTGAGTAACGCACTGTAAAAATGTCCCACGCCCGGTTGTCAATCCATAAGATTGGATTTCAGTTTTATTTAAGAAAGGATAGGAAACTGTGTGACTGGTTTTATTTCAAAAGACAATGTTTCATGAGTTGATCTAATTTTTTGCTGGAGTTTATAGATGGAGCTTTAATCACGTATTGAGGAAAGGAGTTCCGTTTGTAGCGATAAATAAATCCTCAAAATAAATAGCTCTGTAAGTTTTCGACATTGGATGCTGACAATATTAGTTTTAGTGGACTCAACTAGCTGAAGGCGCTCGGTCATGCATCCGCACCAGATCACGTGTGGGAACGCCGTGCTCAACATCTACTGCAATCACTAGCCAGACTAGATCAGACAATTCCGATATATTGGCAATAGTCAAATACAACTTCTGATCTCCTCGATTCTGTCTTTTGATTTCTCTTGGTGGGTAGGGGTTATATTAAAAGGTGTTACTGGTAAAGACGTTGTTAAACACTGAATACCTGTGCCATCTTCATTGGTGAGCCCGACGTGATCTGGTTCACCAAATCATAAACTGTGAGTTTGTTCCATTTTGGGATTCTATGTATCATTTATTTATTTTAATTTTTTATACATTGTGATATTTTTTCCCGCGTTTTTCGATATCTATGTATTTTTCACTCGTGTATTCTCGTACCTAATTTTTACCTATGACTGAACAGACCCCCAAGGAATTTAGGATTAAGACTATGTCCCCACCCTCGTTCCAACTCATGTCTTTCCGGCCTGACAACATCGAAGCCTGGTTCTGCTACGCAGAAGCCGACTTCTACGAGCACGACGTGAACGACACACGTGCACAATTCCTCGCAGTAGTCAAGGCACTACCGCGGGAATTCAACAGGTGCGTAACACCTAGTATGTTTACTAGTGATGTTTCTGCACCGTACGAAAGCATAAAGCGTATTATCCTTAAACGAGGAGACCTAACCGATCGACAGAGGTTCGACAAACTCTTTAATAACATCGACCTGCAACACGGTTCTGCGACGGACATGTTGCAAAGACTGAGTGAAGTGATAGGCCTAAGAACTTTCGACGAAGGTCTATTCAAACAACTTTTCTTGTCTAAACTTCTTCAACAGGTGCAAACGGTTCTGGTCTCGTTTCAGAACAACGCCTTAGACGAGCTGGCTGTAAATGACGATCGTATCTTAGAAATTACGAAATCTACTACCGAGGTATTTTCAGTCAAAAAAAGCCTCAAACGACCCAGAATGACATGACCGAGTTATGTCATACACTTACGCGGTATCTTAATTTTCGTAACGACCGTAAGCGATCACACACTCCATATAGAAGCACTTCACGTAGGTGATCTGTCTCTAGACCACGATAGACAGATAACCCCGACTGCTGCTGGTATCATAACCAGTATGGAAAGTCTTCCAGAAATCGCAGAAAACCCTGCAATTTTCCCAACTCAAAACCAACTGACTCTAAAAACAACTCGGGAAACTTCCAAGCCGGTACGCGTTAACAGCAACCGTAGCCGGCGAACATAGCCGTCTGTTGTACGTTACAGATGTGACAACGAGAGTTCGCTACCTCGTCGACACTGGCGCAGAAGTTGGCGTTCTCCCAGCAAATCCTAACGACCGGCTTCACTAATTGGTTTTAAATTTACAGGCGGCAAACGGAAAACCTATCGCTACGTATGGCAAAAGGTACGTTTACCTGAACGTGGGTTTACGCAAACCCATTCACTGGATTTTCGTTGTTGCATGTTTCTATGACAATCATTGGTATGGACCTTCTACAACACCATAATCTGATAATCGATACGCGCAAACGGAGGTTAATAGACGGAAACACTAATTTACCCGTTTGTGTAACTTCTTTTTCTGGCTGCAGATTGTCCCCAGTCACAATTAAGCATAAGATAAACCCACTTTATCAACCACTACTCGATAAGTATCCTGGATTACACCAAACTCAACCGAAACTACCGCGTGTAACCCGCGACGTTACACATCACATAACGACTACAGGACCACCTGTATTCTCTAAAGCACGACGACTAGCTCCCGAAAAGCAAAGGTTGGCAAAGAACGAGTTCGACCACATGATAGACTTAGGAATCATACGACCGTCAAATAGTCCATATGCATCTCCGTTGCACATGGTTCTTAAAAAGGACAGCAATGATTGGCGTCCAACTGATGACTATCGGCGATCGAATGCAAAAGCCATTCCCGATCGTTACCCGTCGCCTCACATTCACGATTTGACAGCTACCTTGAAAGATACAACTGTCTTTTCGAGAATCAACTTGGTTAAAGCATACAACCAAATCCCTATGGCCACAGACGACATTCTGAAAACCACCATCATTACTCACTTTGGACTCTATGAATTTTCGCGAATGCCTTTCGGTCTAAAAACGCTGCCCAAACATTCCAAATGTTCATAGACGACGTTTTTCGAGTTCTCAACTTCGTACACGCGTATGTTTACGACTGCCTAATCGCAAGTCCGGACAGAGAATCACATCTCAAGCATCTGGATCTTGTTTTCGAACGACTACAAAAACATGGTATTACTGTAAACGTTCAGAAATGCCAAATCGGAGCTGACTCATTAGACTTCCTAGGACACACTATAGATGCTCATGGCATTCGACCCCTTAGGACCAAAGTGGCGGCAATTCCGGATTACCCAGAGCCGACCAGGATCAGGCAACTACGAACGTTTAACGGCCTTGTAAGTTTCTATAGACGATTCATACCTAAATGCGCGTTACTCATGAAACCTCTAACCGACCAACTTCGTGAAAATGCGAAATCCATTAATTTGGACGACACCGCTCGAAAAGCATTCTCCACAATTAAGGAACTGATCGCTAAAGCAACAATCCCTGCACATCAGGACACTCGAGCACCCATTAGCATCACAGTAGACGCATCCGACTCGGCAATCGGAGGAGTCTTGCAACAATTAATTAACAACTACTGGCAACCATTGGCATTTTTCTCTAGGCGGTTGCTAGACACCGAATCGAGGTACAGCACATTTGGCAGAGAATTCCTAGCTATGTATTGTGCTGTGCGGCATTTTCAACACTACATCGAAAGCCGTGAATTCACTTTTTTCACTGACCATAAACCTCTTACTTTGTCGTTAAGCTCCTCTTCAGACAAACACTCATCTCATGAGTCTCGACAACTGGACTACATTACGCAGATTACTTCAGATATTCAACACATCTCTGGAGCAAACAATGTAGTTGCAGACGCTTTGTCTCGAGTAACTTCCTTGAACAGTTTCCAAGGAATCGACCTTCTGAAACTCGCCCAGCTTCAAAAAGAAGACACTGATCTTCAGCCCGGGTTATCGTCTACAACACTCAAGCTACGCAGCAAACAGATGAAAACAGGTAACGAAACCTTACTGTATGACACATGTACAGGCAAGGATCGTCCAATCGTGCCGAAACATTATCGATGCTACATCTTCAATACGTTGCACAAACTTTTTCATCCAGGTGTTCGTGCAACCATCAAGCTTATAGCAGAACGATTTTGCTGGCCTGACACGAATAAAGACGTGAGGGAGAGGGCTCGTTCTTGTGTAAGCTGCCAAAAATCGAAGGTTACCAGACACAATAAATGTCCCTCAGGCTCATTTAAAACTCACGATGCTCGTTTCGACCATGTTCTTCTGGATTTGGTAGAACCTTTACTAGATTCAAATGGATACTCTTATCTCTTAACCTGCGTTGACCGTTTCACTCGATGGTCAGCAGCAGTACCTCTCAAAGACATCACTGCTAAACAGTGGCTCGCGCCTTCGTCGAACGACGGGTAGCAAACGTTGGCTGCCCTTCAACCATCACCACAGACCGCGGACGTCAGTTTGAATCTGAACGTTTCCGTCGTCTGACCATATTATAAAGAATCACTCGCTTCCGAACGATCGCCTATCACCCACAAACAAACGGGTTGGTAGAACGCTTTCGCCGACAATTAAAAGCTTCATTATCAGCTGCAAACGTTCCACAGTAGATCGACGCTCTTCCACTCGTCTTACTAGGTATTCGCAATGCAGTGAAAGCTGACATTGGATACACTGCGACTCAACTCGTTTAAGGAACGACACTTTGACATCCAGGAGAACTCTCAGATCCTTCATCTTCTTCAATGGAAATGAATCTAACCTCCTACTCAAACAGGCTTGCAAACGCAATGCGTTCAGTTAAGCCTGCTTCCACTCGACCTCAATCAACTGATGTTTTCGTTCAACCTGACTTGCGATATAGTACACACGTCTTCGTATATCGAGACTCGCATCGACAACCATTCGAATCAGCATACGAAGGACCTTTCAAAATTCTTCAACGCGAACCGAAGTACTATATAATCGATATGAACGGAACCAACGATAGCATCAGCCTCGATCACCTCGATGCAGCATATTTAGAAGGAAATCCTATCTACGTCGATTTTCCTTCGGTACAATCAAACGAAACGACTCCGACACTTATAATACCTCATCGGACAACCAACACACACTATTTTATTTTATAGCCACAAATAATCCCATACTCTCAGTTCCTTTCCGAATTGCCTCCATTTGTCAGTTGTATGTCTGTAGAACTTATGGTCTACTGTGATATTAGTACTGCTCTAATAATAGACCTAATCCTAAATCTGTAGATTTATCATGATATGACTGCCTAATCTATAAGATCTTACATGGAAGTCACACCATCGACTACACCAACTCACTGTATCGTATCAATTACCAATACATGATGTAGAACAAGGTTAGGCTAGAGAAAGAACAATATATTTAATATGAAAAGAAGATATAAGGTAACATTCAGCAGAGACCACGCCTGCATGGCCGAGCCATGCCGTTCGATCAACTCTAGTCTATTCAATTCATTCTTCGCGCCTTCTCCGTCGTTAGGTATTTCTTCGCGTTAAATATTGAATACCTATT